CAGGTATGAAATCCACATGCGCTGAGCACACTGAGCACCAGGAGACGACAAATCCGTCGCCAACAAGAAAGAAGAATCGAGCACATCCCCACAGACAGGAAAAGATTTTCGAGTTGTGAATCCACGGTCCTGGACCCCTGAAGGTGGACAAATCTGGGTTACGCTGTCAGATACAGCAGCGTGGAAGTCTGCGAGAAGGCCTCAAATGAAGAGTGACAATTTTAAGAAGCAAAAGCAGTAGTCACCCAAGAAGCAAGGAAGAGTCAAGTGACCAAAGAAAACTGGAATGGCTCTAGTACTGAGGTTTAACGAGGCCACTGTGGTGGAGAACGCATGGTGCTTTCGGACTGGGCCGGCTAGTTGATGTCACTGTGAGAGTTATTTAAAAGCTGGACAGAAATATCCCGGAGCAGAAGAAATTTGAGCGAGGCTGTTCGAAAGTACAGAAGCTGTCTAAAGAGATCCCCGGACTTTTGCCTTTTCCCAGTTCCCTTTCCGTTTGACCTATGTCACATTCGAGACTGTGGACAGCTCCATTTTCCAAGTTGTCGCCTCTGCTTCCTGTGATATTTTGTTTCTGCTTTTCTATTTATTATCTACCTATAATTCCTTTTCCTCTGCCCAAACCCTACTTAATGCGTTCCACGGGCCTAACTTCTTGGCCCTCTGCTCTACTGTTCAGGTACTCTTTCCATCAGGTGGAAAATCCTGTCATGTTATGATGTTGGCACTGAAACTTCTATCTCCAGCTATGACTCTTACTCTGAACTCCCATTCCATAGGTCACTTTCATAAGCATTTGCTGAGGGCTAATTAAGGTGTTGCAGACACGCTGCTGAAAGATAGCAGAGTCTCCTTACAAGATGTCACCACACGGAGGTGTCCTAACATCATCGCAAGCTCAAAGAGCTCGAAGCGTCTTCTTGTGAGCTTCCCTGAGTGTACCAGTCAGAATGTTTCTTACAAACATCCACGCTTTCGGGATCATTATCAACATTAATCAGCTTTGTAGAGATAAAAATGCAGCTACCTGAGTAGCTCACAAAACAAAAAGTTTATTTCTTCCTCAGATTACACGTGGGGTAAGGTTCCCTGGAGCTAAGCTCCACACATCTCCTCCTCATCTTAGCCCAAGAAAAGGAGAAAGAAAAAAGCCCCGTAAAGCTTCACCTTGGGTGAGGCCTATGTCCCATCTTCTCACAGTGCACGGTCTAGCACAAAATCAATGGGCTGGGGATGAATCATCCTTTTATGAGGAAGTGGGTTATGAGTAATTTGGGCACATGTTACTGCTAATCACCAGCCATGTCGACCATAGTGGAAGTCTCCCAACTTACCTCTCTGTGAATCGCTCATCGATCAAGTTAGCAGAAATTTCTGCAGGCTGTCTATGTGGCATTCACTGCGATACGTCTGAGGGGTAATAAGTAGAACAGCTGCTGCCATTCAGCAGCTCCCGGTCAAGCGAAGGATATAAATAAACAAATCTATCACAGTGATAAGAATGCCTACGTGAAGGGAGCCTGAGCAAGACAGGCCTCGTGTCTGCAGCCCTCGCCATGCCATACGCAGCCTCGGGAGATTAGAGAAGGTTCAGCTTTAAGTAAAGCCCTGAACGATAAGTAGAGTCAGACCAATGGGAGGCAGGCATTGAAGAAGGGCATTCAAGGCAAAGGAAAGAGCATTTGCAAAACTCCCGTAGGATACTGCATGTTTGGGCAATGGCAGGTGGTTCGACGTGCCCAGAGTATATTGACACAGGTGCAGCAAGGAGTGAGGGTGGATAAGAGGCGACCGTGAGACACGAGAAACCCGACACATCACGCTCAAGAGTGTGATCGTTACGACGTGTGCTGTGGTGAGGAGGGCGGCAGGCGTAGCAGTGAAATGACGACGTTTAGACGGGAACCAAGAGACTCTCATGAGGGAAAAGGGGACGGATTTGATGACCAATAGAAGACAGAGCTTAGCGAGGAGGCGGTGGTGGGGAGTCGAGGATGACTGATGCTCAGGCTTGGATGCGGGTTGAATGGTTGTACCAGTTACCTGGATAAAGGCATATATAAGGGACATGCATCCCTAGCTTCGTCTCTCTAAAGCCTGAGCTGAGAGAGATTATGCTGGGGCTCGGGGGCTCAGAAGAGAGGCATGGGAAGAGAAAGAGAAAGAGAG